GGCTGCAATTAAAAATGCAGAAAACAAGCAAAGCTGGAGACACACAAAGCCCTGTGTCCTCCAAGTGATAGTTTACATTAGCTGCTAAGCAAGCAGCCCTCCAAATGACGTTAGGATTTCTCTCTATGCTTCCCTGAACTTCTTGTAAGTAAAGAAGAGAAAGGAGAAAGGGGAGGGGGGAAAAGAAGAAGAGGAAAAAGAAAGAAATATAAAGCCTGTCTTCTCAGGCAAATTCTGTGGTCGGCTCCTTCCTTCTGTGGTTGTTTTCCTGCTATCTAACCTCTAAAGTGGCAAGTAGCACCGCAGTCTATAAGGTAGTAGTTCAAATTGTTCAGAATCTGAGCAATTAAAACACAGAGCTCTGGCTTTCATGGAGCTTGCTTTCCAGTTGGGAAAACGCAGATGACATGAAATTTAATTGCACTTGTGAGTAACAAAGGTGAATAATTTTTTAAATTATTTGTAGTTTTACAAATAAATTATTTGTAGTTTTACAACTAAAATTTATTGCTAGTTTAACAACTGGAATATGGTTGGACTTTCAATATGGAATATGGTTGGGTTAGAATGCATTTCATCAGCTAATAGAATTAATCCAAGATTAGATTTCAAGTGGATGAGGGACTAAGAAAGCACAGAAGAGGTACCGGCACCACAGCTCAGTGTCAAGCCCTTGCCTAGTGGGCGAAAGACTCTGGGCTCTATCCTGAGTGCTGTGTAGGGGGAAAAAAGCGCCCAGGTGACAAGGACCAGCAGTTGTGTGGGTGAGAAAACTGTGAGCACAGTGTTAAGTAGAGTCAATCAGATGTCCAAGCCTAAAGGCCGTGGGGAATTTTTGAATATAAGAAAATCAAAATATAAAGAGAATAATGAAAACAGATAATAAGAAACAAAGAGATAGATCTTTTGCAAGAAGGAAGGGCAGCAACAGATGGAGAGAGGAGAAGCAAAGGGAGTGAGAATTAAGATGCTCTTGGTACCTGTGGAGGCTCCCCTCTAGTAACGTAATCACTATGTAGTATGCACCAATACAAATGATACAGGCCAGGAAGGAAGGAAGGAAGGAAGGAAGGAAGGAAGGAAGGAGAGAGGAAAGGGAGGGCAGGAGGGGGGATGGAGGGAAGGAAAGGACTGCCACATTCTTAACCAAAATAATTTAATTCTTCCATTCATACTTTTCTTGTCTCAGTGGAAAATTATGGTGGATAGAAAAAAAAAAAAGTGAGGGTAAAAAAAAAATCTTCACTAATGATCTGGAAATATACTATACCTTACTTGTTAAAACTAATGGCGTTAATTTGGAGAATAAGAAGTAGAGAATTTGTTTTTGCAATATGTCCTATTAAATAAACATATCGGTGAAAAGTGACATAAAAGATAATAAGGAGCAGGGAGGCCTTTCTTTAATGTGGAGGGGAATAAGAGATGGAGAGAGGAGAAAACAAAGAAAAGAAAGAAAAGACGAAGCACGCTGTGTTGTGCACATGCACTAATTCCACCCCAGAAAGTAGGCTTTGTGTACTGCAGACATGTACTAATAAAATAGATATTAAGAATACTTGGGGCCGGGGAGATGGCTCAGTAGAATAAGCACTTCCCTGACAAGCACAAGGGCCTGAGTTCAATCCCTGGTTCCACCAATAATAA